TTGTAATTGGCAACACTTTAAAACATCAAATACTGCTTTCAGTTTCTCTGCGTCTATGTCATTTTATATACAGCATAGGAAGCATTGGAACAGAAAATAATTTGAGCTATTTTCCTTGTACCTCTAAGCTGACTTTCCTTATAATTTATATTTTATATAAGATTTAAAATTTACATTTTACAATATGAAAAGAAACAGTAAGGCTCTGTGAATATCATTGGTCATATTGAAAAAGAGAAGAGGTATTGCCAAGATCCCTAATTTCAGAATTCTTGTCTTTTTCCCCATGTGATTCCAAGAGATGAAAGACTAAGAAAAGGCACTCTTTCTTAATGGCTAGAGTTTCACTTCCAGATTAACCATCAGTCCTGCCCAGGTTACTCAGGCTGGACAGTGTGTGCACCTCAAGGGCTCTTTAGCACAGGGTTTAGACGAAAGCCTGGCCTGACATGTCTGTTGTGAGCCCTGTGTTTGAGGGTAGTGCTTGCTCTAAACGCTTGTTGCTTAAGCAACAGCAGAAGGAAGAGAAAAAGCATGCTTATTTTTCTCACTCGAATGTAGAACAGCTGCCCAAACCACCCTCAGGCTGGAGAGTGTGTGCACCTCAAGGGCTCTTTAGCACAAGGTTCGGACAAAAGCCTGGCCTGACATGTCTGTTGTGAGCCCTGTGTTTGAGGGTAGTGCTTGCTCTAAACGCTTGTTGCTTAAGCAACAGCAGAAGGAAGAGAAAAAGCATGCTTATTTTTCTCACTCGAATGTAGAACAGCTGCCCAAACCACCTTCCTCTGGTTTCTCTTTACCTGGGTCTATCCTGAATCTGCCCCTCGTAGAGAACAGGCTCCTCTTGGGTACCAACTCATAAAAGAGAGCAAAGAGAAAGTTGACTCTCACCTGGATCTGTATTTACTCTGTATTCTTTCCAGCAAAATCCATTTCTAGCAGCTCTGATGTAGTTAGCAACCCATGTGTCCTTGTTTTGATTCTGTCCTTCAACTAAGCAGAAATGCTCCTTCTTAGAGGTGGGATAAGGAAAATGTGTGACCAACAATGTGGCCATGTCATACTTGATCAGATGGAAAAGTTTCCTGTAGCTATTATCTCAGTTTGAACAGTTGGCCAGATGCTAGTATAATTTTCATTCTTTCACTAAAGTCACTGACACCTAAGACCCATGTCTAGATCAGTTTGGCCACAAGTAAGTCTAAGAATCATTTTGTAATTGTTTGATTATCAGATCATAGAGTTCTAAAATCAATGCTGCCTTTTCTAAGTCATTAAAGATTTTGCAAAATATTTGCTTTTCTGATTCATCTTCATTCAAGGTTGAGCCCATTGCTTTTGAATCATATTCACTAACTCGTAAACTGTTAAACTCTAATATTACTGGTACGTAAAAATACATTTTATCTTAATACTTGAAAATTCCAATTCATGTTGCTTAGATATCTTCGAGTGACTGAAAGACCATATTGAAAGAGCTTGTTTTATATTACGGTAAAATATGCTGACTGTAAATAAAGATAAGAATGATTTGATACATTACAGAAAACACATGCAAAACTGCACAAGAGTTTTCCTCAAGTGGTTTTGTAAGAAGAGAGGAAAAGAAATGCTAAAAGCAGTTTGCTAAAACAGTTTGCCATTCTATGTTCTTGTGATATTCATATGCAAAATACATGCAGCTTATAAGGAAATAATGGGTTGTAGTCCTAGGAGTTCTACTTTTAAAAATTAAGTGCATAGAACTATAATAGGCATTTAATGAATAATTTTAACATTTTTGTAAATTAAAAAACATTATATTTATACAGTAAACATTTAAATGACCAGAACGTATACAGAGAACTTAATTTTTGAAAATGAAGTGACAATTGAGAACACATTTGTTTCTGGCCAAAAACTATGAATTTGGGCTAGTATTACTTTGGCTTAAGTTAGATCTGGTCTAAGGAGTAGTGTTCTTAACTCAGGGAAGGAGAGTTAATCAGATCAGCTAATGCCATTTCTAAGACTTAAAATTAAGCACCGTGTAATTTGGGCCCTTCCTCTGTTAATGGTCAGCAGTTATTTCATGCCCTTCCTGTCTTAACTAACTTGTCTTTGACTAATGTGAATCAGTTATCATAGTATTTGCATCCACTGACCTTCTCTTTTTTAACAGAGATAGCTTTATATAGAGTTAGCCATTAGTGTGAAATGCATCTCATAAGATTGGTTCTCTTTCTTAGGTCATCAGAGCATTGCAGAGGGTTGACAACATGGTTGGCATGCTGATGGATGGTCTAAAAGAGCTAGACTTGCATCGATGTCTGAACCTCATCCTCATTTCAGATCATGGTAATCTCTACTTCCCTCACTGACCCTTTAATTTAAATGGTCTCCCCCACCCCCAATTTTGCCTGATTGATTATTGTTTTATTATTTCCTCTGATTTTTAAAGTTAATTCTTTTTCTAAAACATAGTTTCTTATAGAAAGTAGAAATGTAATACAGAATTCACAGACATCTAAGAGCCTATCAATCAAAATGCATCCATCTCCTGATTTGGGAAAGTCTTATACCAGGAAATTGGATAGTTAAAAATTTCTTTTTTCACTATTCACTTTTGGTAAATCTACTGTAACAATTTCAGATTTAATTTGAACAGATTATTATGTACCTTTTCTATTTTCTTTAGCATGATAAATCTGACTTTGGAAGCAGCGTATATTAATTTTGGCAAATTTTAATTTCACTTTTACTTACTGTGATCTTTATAACATGGTTCTATATAGTCTTTGGACTACAGAAGTGGGGTGTATACAAGAAAACAGAAAACAGATTTTTTTATTGTTCATTTTTTCTTATTATTGTTGTTTGCTTCAGAAACAGTTACTGAAAACTATTCTAGAAACAGTATGAAAAAGTTTTATACTAAAGAAACTCCAGTCTTGGAATGAGACCGAATTTTATACTCCAGTTAATATCCTTGGTGATTTGGGGAAAATAACTAGGCTTTCATATTCAGTATAAAACTGTGATAATTTTCCTCACTTGTATAAAGATATTATAATATGTAAATAAGAAGAAACATTAAGCTAATTTTGAATGAAGGAAAGGGAAAAGATTTTTTTTTTTAAAGTGAAGTAGTAAATATAGCTGAAATTCCATGTCTTACCTGTTAGATATTTAACTAACACAAGCATTGAGCACATATTTATTGAATTAAATTCTGGCAATGAAAGAAGTTTTGTTCTATGTGTTAAATTTTTAATTAAAGTTGCAATGTGTTTTGGAATTTTTTTACCTAGGCATGGAACAAGGCAGTTGTAAGAAATATGTATATCTGAATAAATATCTGGGAGATGTTAAAAATATCAAAGTTATATATGGACCTGCAGCTCGATTGAGACCCTCTGATGTCCCAGATAAATACTATTCATGTAAGTTTATCTCTATGCTATCTTTGAATATGATTATATTTAGAATACATTCCTCTAAATCATTATATCTCTAAAGAGAATCCATTAAAGTTAATTTCCTTTTCATGATTAAATGTCTCAGTGCATATCTTCTGTACCCAAAGGGACTTTATGGGGCTAGATGTGAGGATACAAGTCTAACCACGTACCAATTTGGTATTCATGGCTAAGAATATTATTTGATGAGCTTAGTACATTAACATAGTGATCTATATGCATAGTGACTCTATATGCATGACAAATTTTATTAGCATTTTTTTAAATGTATAAAGGTAGTACACAGTTATTGTAAGACCTCTTATGAAAACTATAGAGGGAATGGAAGTCCCCAGAAATGTTTAGGATGGGATGGCTGAGGTTTAGTTACACCCTTAACTCAATTAGGCCCCTAAGTTTCCCAAACTAAAGCAAAAGCTATGTCTATTTGCATAATACATAAAATCTATATACAGTACATATTCTTTTATCTGGATAATTTTCTCAAATTTATGTAAAGTCTAGCTAAAAGGATCTTAGAAAGCTAGGTAGTATTGGATTTGTAGCACAAGTTACGCTAAGTAAGTACACTGAGGGCTTGCTATGCAAATTCAGTTTCAAAACTATTCTACTTGTCGTCTCTTCTAAAAACTATAAAAAACTATTCTACTTGTCCCTCTTATTTGAATCTGGAATTATCAGTGAATATCAAAATATATAAAGTAAAAATTAATAGTTTCCCCACCCCAAATCCCCATAATTTATAGCTTAGTTCTTCTCTAGAGGTAAACACTGTTGAGTTTAGAATGTGTCTTCTCAGCTATTTGCTATTCATAAATAAAACATTCATTTTTATTTTTACACAGTGAAATTGTACTAGATCTAGATAGATGGATGCATGAGTATTTGAATGCATGGACAAAAAGATGGATAGATGAATGGACAGGCAGATGGATAGAAGGCCAGATATATGAATGGAAAGGTGGATAGATGAATGGACAGGCAGATGGATAGATGGTCAGATGGATGAATGGATGGACAAATGGATGAGCAGATGGATGGACAGGTGGATGTTCTGTAACTTGCATTTTCATTTAACAAATATGGCATAATTTCACTGACTTTGGGTGGGAGTAGCCAAAGATCTGTCTTATTCCTACCAATGGCTAATATGTAATGATTTGAATGACCTTTTTGAAACTTGCTTTGGTCTTTAAATATAGGATTTGAGCCTGACATTCTATAATTTTTGTATTATTTTTATTGCTAATTATAACATACCATCCACAATTAATTCTTATCTTTGTTTCACTTCAGTTAATTATGAGGGCATTGCCAGAAATCTTTCTGTGAGTATATTTATTTTTCTATTATCTAATTATTGTATTATCTAGTTTTGTTTAACATATATTTAGGAAAAAAGTTTCAGTATTTGTTATTGGGATTATAGGATTAGAATTTTGAGTGTCTGGGTCAACATTTAAATTCTCTGTAGGTTTTAAAGATCTTTAAGGACGTATCCCAAAAATCTAGGTTTGAATGTTTTTAAGAATTTATTTATTGATATCGTTGAATTTATGTGACAATATAAGAAATACATAATTGAAAACAATAGAAGGAAAAAACCTAGACATGTTCTGCTATAAATACTGTTAGCATTATGATCCATAGTCTTTTTTATGCCTATATTTTAAAAAGCAAGTTTTTGTTATAGTGCTGAGTTATCTATACTACGTTTTTTTTTGTTTTTTTTATTTTTACTTGATAGAAAATTGAATTTTGGAGAAAATTCTTGTAATTGTAGTTACAAGAGTGTTTGAAAATAGGATCATCAGTAGTAACTCAGATATAATCTAGTGACACAGTCTAAGCATCCTAGGACTTCTATATGGTGATTATGATTTCCTGTAAAAATAAGGATATTCAACAGCTAGGAAATGTTCAACTTGTACATTATACAAATAGTAACTCAGTTATTTTTCCACATGTGACTTATTAGGCATGCTGGTAAAATGTTTGTGAGAAAAATTCATATGGAATTAGAAAGCACTTTCAAGAGAAGTATACTAAAAAAATATGGAAGTAATGTTTTTTCTTTGCCTTCTACAATTTCAGTGCCGGGAGCCAAACCAGCACTTCAAACCGTACCTGAAACAATTCTTACCCAAGCGTTTGCACTTTGCCAAAAGTGACAGGATTGAGCCCTTAACATTCTATTTGGACCCTCAGTGGCAACTTGCATTGTAAGTTCTGAATCTCCCAGGTTAACTTAGCCTGATCTGTTAATAATTCAAAGTAACCATGGGTCCTTTCCAATAGTGTTGTTTGTTATATGAAACTGCACAAATGTGATTTTCTGAATCACTCTTTATGAACATAGTAGAGGTGTTTTGAGATTAGATAAGGGGTTCTCAACCTTGGCCTATTGACATTTTGGATCAGATAATTCTTTGTTGTAGGGAGCTGTATCGTGGGATGGTTAAAAGCATTCCTGGCTTCTCACTAAATGAAAAAGTACTCTTTCTATATAGTTGTGACTATTGAAAATGTCACCAGACATTGCCAGAAGGCCGTGGGGAGAGGGGATCAATCCCAGCTAAGAAGCACTTGCACTGTCTGCTCACATCCATATTGACTATTTCTTATGCTCCATATTTGTGATACCACTTGCCATTGTATCTCTTCTGCACATTACAGTGATGCCTAGTAAGTCCAGCAAAGTCCAGCAAATAATTGGCTAAAGCTCTTTACCTTATAATAACGATCAAGTACCTTCATCATTATACAGTTTTTTTTTTCATTCTTGTTATACTAATTCGTCAATAAACCTCAGTCTGTTGGTATGTTCAGCAAATTATTTGGACGGTTAAGTTATTAACATCTCCAGACTTGATCATTAACTCTTTTGATGGTTGCCAGGAAACCAAGGATGATAAATACCCCAGTCAAGCAAAACCTAAGCAGCAAACCAGAATTCAGTCAACAGAATTGCACCGTCTCTACTTTATTAGGAAGCTGTGCTTTTAGTGTTTGAAAGAATATGAAAGAAGGGATGGTTCTTATTCTCATTGAGAACTAATATTGAATGAACATCTACTATGTTCCAAGCATTTCTTTAGGTTAAACCATTTAATTTTTACAAACAACCCAACATAACAAAATTGAAACCAAGAGAAGATAATTAAATTGCCAAAGTCACAGCTAGTTAATAGCATAGTCAGGGTTCAAGACCAGTTCTATCTCAGTGCCGGTGGTTTTTTTTCCCCTCTATGCCGTATTGTTTGTAGTTAACTCGTCTACAGAATAAAAGATAAAGGCAGCCCTTTACTGCTTTTCAAAGCCAGGTGATTTTATTTACCTTTTCTTGGTTTGTATAACAAAATAGTTACCTATTCTTTATTAATAGAAATAATCCCATAGTTATCAATTTTTCTTTATGAACTGACTTTACATTATTAATGCATATTATGCCAAATTAGGAATCCTTCAGAAAGGAAATATTGTGGAAGTGGATTTCATGGCTCTGACAACATATTTTCAAGCATGCAAGTGAGTAAACCTACTACATATTTTTTAAATGATATATCTAAAGAAAAACTGCTATATAAAGTTTTAGACTTAAAAACACAGACTGATTATGTCTTAAATGAGAAGTAATGAAGCATATACGTTCATATAGCTCTTTTCCTTTGGACATTAAATGAATAGAATTTAGTTAAAATTTTATATTCTTATTTCATGAATGTGTGACATATACCTCCTACTAAATTTCCAATAATTATTTTGCATATATTATGCTTCATTAAGAATGTTGCTCCACAGTAAATGAAAGACAGTTGGTTAATATTTGAAAGGATATCAAACTTACGTTCTAAATGAAGATAATACCTTAAATTTACCTAGCACTTTAAGATTTTAAAAAATATATTCACAACAATTATGTAATTTGATTCCTGCAACACTGCGTGAGGCGGGCAGGGAGAGGTTTACATCCCATTTCTTAGATGAAAATCTCTTTCATTGTCATTCTGCTCTGCAGGTCAAGTCAGAAATTGTAGTAAAGCTAAGATAAATATTCTAGGTGTCCTTACATTTTATGTGCAACAGGGGTTTAAAAAAATTCTACAAAGCCCATTCGGCATAGTGTTTTTCTTTTTATCTTAACATAACCAGTTTATATATATGTACTACAGAAAATATAAAATAGTTTTTGACCAACTACATACATCACTGAAGTGAATTGATAAACTTCCTTTTCTGGCCAATCCAGGCTCTCTTTATTGGCTATGGACCTGCATTCAAGCATGGCATCGAAGTTGAATCCTTTGAAAATATTGAAGTTTATAACTTAATGTGTGGTAAGTGTGAACAGGCAACTTTCATCTCTTCTGAAAATAGAGCTAGAATAGGATGATCAAAAGTAGGCCACATGATGGGCACCTTTGTGGAAATGATGAGGCAAGACAGACACTTACATTTCTACTTTTCTTCTTCCTGACCCAGAGTCAATGAAAAAAATAGGCCATACATACTCTCTGATTACTTATCTGATTCTTCCACTGGGCTGCATACTGGTAAAGTACAAAACCCAGAGAGGAGAGGTCTGTACATTTTCGGTGCCTGGTTCTTTGCCTGCTCTGGGCTTAATTATATGACAACTGAATCAGATCAGTCGTGGAAGCCATAAAAAGAGTTTGGGGCTGTGAAAGGTAGACAAAACAGGTGGAACCTCTGGTAGCAATAATAGTTGAATGGATGACAATGTCAAGGTTGTAAAAACAAAGGCAGACCCATTAGGTATATTCTTGGTTTACTCTGTACCTTCTTAGTACTATTATGGGTGAGGTATTGCATCTTAAATGTTACTTCCTTTTTTCTGATGATACTGAGTATTTGCAAAACCTTAAATATATCCTGAGTATAATTCTTTTTGGGAGCTGATATGCATAAATGCGATAATAGATCCTAAAGCAGTTAAAACAGTGCCTGGCATATAGTAAGTGCTTTATAAGTGTCTGCTGTCATTACTATTAAGAACCTGAATCTTAGACTTGGACAAAGCTGGTTTTGAGTCCACTAACTTTATATGAGTAGCTTTGAGATCTTGGACAAAGTACTCTGATCACTCATCTACCAAATATTGACAATACTTATTAAATTGTTTTGAGGATTAAATAAGAAAAATATATTAGTATGGTGATTGACGTATAATAAGCATTCAATAGGTGGTAACTATAATTATTATGCACATTAAAATTCAGAAATTTTTATAAGAAGTACAGCAATACACATCAGCATTTCCATTAAGAATAGCATAGTCATAAATACTCTAAAACCCAAGAGAGTTTTATAGTTTTATTTTAGATAAAGAATTAAGGACTCATATAAAGTTAATTTAAAAAAAATAAAAATCATAGTACACATCTACTATTTATTTGTTTTAGAAACTTAAGTAAATCTTTACCCTTCTTGGAATTATGCAGATTTACTGAATTTGACACCTGCTCTTAATAATGGAACTCATGGAAGTCTTAACCACCTTCTAAAGAATCCCATTTATACCCCAAAGCATCCCAAAGAAGTCCACCCCCTAGTCCAGTGCCCCTTCACAAGAACCCCTAGAGGTAACCTTGGCTGCTCATGCGATCCCTCGGTAAGTATTGCTGAGAAGCTGAGCCTAGTGTGTATGTGTGTTTTTATAGCACCCTCTGCATAGCATGTCCTTTAGAAATACTTAATGATCAAATTCAAAGTTATGAGCGAGAGTAAACATAATATTTATTTTTAGTTCTAGTGACACATGCAGACTTTTTTTTTTTTTCCTCTACCTTGTTTTTTTGCATTTTTGCCTCTATTTTTATCCCTGGGTGCCGTGACTTGACTTTCAGGTTGGGAGAAGTCTAGCTGAGTCCTGGAGCATCCTGAATCATAGAATTTATGCTGTTACCCTAGCAGCGAGGTCTTGGTTATAAACCAGTCACAATATTCCTTCTCTAAAATACATTGCAACCTATTTTAAATTTTGGAGGGGGTGGATATCATTTTTTGGTACAAAACAGATATATGACACTGTTGCTTATGGTTATTGTAAAAAGATGAAGATTTGTGACAAGTTATGAACAAAATTGATAGGATCCATAAAGATAGAAATTTGGGGAGTAGTTGATTTTATGCTTTCTTTTTTGTTTTAGGATTGTAGAAAAACTGTAAGAGTAGAGATAAGAATTATAAAGAAGCTATTCTTATTTTTCAATTAATAGTGTTGTGCTTATGCTAATAATTTTATATTTTTGCAACTTCATCAAAAAATGACTTTTACAAGTTGGTTTTAAATTTTATCTGTGTTCTACAATAGTATAATTAAGCTGTAGAAGTTGTTTGTTACAAATTAAAACATGTCTGTCATTCCTTAAAAATAGCATTATTAACTTTTTAGATTTTTCCAGTCATGGATTTTCAGACACAGTTGAATCTGACCATGGCAGAAGGTAAGGCATGTTTACGCTTGAATTTGAAATGTTGAAGAAGGCTTTTTCTCAACAGTGTGAACCACAGAGAATTGGTTTGGAGGCATTTTTGAGAATAACCAATAAAATAAAAGGAGTAGTGGAGGACCACCTGATGAAACACAATTTTCTTTGCTTGACAGTCTAGACTGTTACTCATAAGGCAAGAAGGAATATTTACAGTGTAAACAGCTTGTAATATATTTATTGGAAGCTGAATCACTCTTTACGAACATAGTAGAGGAGTTTTGAGATTTTAAAGATTTTCATAGGCTTATAATAAATCTTCCAATTTCCATTTAAAATAACCTGTTAATTGTCTATCTCACTGGTTTTTAATTCATTATGAGATAGTATAAATTGCTTTTTTAAAGTTATTTTTTCATAAGTTTTGAATGAAAATTAAGAATTTGCAGACACCTGATGAAATTTGTCATTTGTGACCTAGATGTTCAGTGTCCCTTTGATAGAATCTCCAATAGATTAAGTTACTCGTCTCACAGTTTTTTCCTTCTGGAATAAAAAGATGAATTCTGCAGTGTTCCTGACTTGAATTTGTATAAAATCTCTGTAAATGTTTAGATTAGAGAAATCTTTGATGACCCCAAGGTGGCAAAGTGTTGTGGTGAAGAATGACACTTTGGAAACAGAGTAGATTGGGGTTTGAATATGAGTTTAGGAACGTATGTCCTTGGAAGGATTTAGTTCCTATAAACTTATTTTCTCATCTTTAAAATGGGCATATAACCTTAACTCATAGGGCAATATGAGAATTAAATGAGATAATGTCTACAAAGAACCCAGCACTTGGGAAAAAGGGCAATAAATGGTCCATACTAGTATTGTTTCATTCAGTTTAATCTTATAATTTCAGTTCTCAACTTTTGCTTTCCAAGTGCAATATCATTCAGAAACTTTTCTTTCTGGAGTACAGTTTGAAGAATAAAGTAATTCAAATGATGTTAAAGAATTTTAGTAATATCATTTAAGTCCTAATTGCTGAAATTTCTAGCAATTTCATGTAGTGTGTGTCTCTTGTGATATCTTCATATTACATTGCTTTTTCAGAATCTATAGGCAAAAACAAATCACGTTTGTTTCCTTAATTATTTATCGTTCTTCTCTTTGTAATTAGTTTTTTTTTTATAGTTAAAATAATTTTTCAGTAGGGTGAAATAGAGGAAAGAATTAGATGAGTGTATCATATATGTTATCATATAATGCACATCACGATGTTTAAATGGTAGTTCGTTTCCATTTTCCCCCTGTAACCCAAGAGAAGGTTATAAGACGTGGCACTCTACCCTATGGAAGACCCAGAGTTCTCCAGAACAGCACTGTCTGTCTTCTCTACCAGCACCGGTTTGTGAGTGGCTACAGTCATGACATCCAAATGCCCCTTTGGGCATCCTACACCGTGGACAGAAATGCAAGTATTTGTTACCCCTTTAGCTATGTGTGGTAATTTCAAATTATCAATAAGCAAAACATTGGGAGCATAGTTTCTCACTGTTAATTTTGGCTCTATAATCAGTTCCCAAATTAGATGATCACTGAATGGGGAGTCAGAAACATTAGGTTCCAGCTCTGCCACTAACTAGCTTGTGACTTTGAGACTCAGAGCATATTTATTTTTCTGTGAAATGAGGGGTCTGCAGTAAAGTCTTCTCCTTTGGCTTTTTTTTTTTT